TCCAAATTATTCAAAAGTTCACCCATTTTCCCAGAAAGGCACAAGAGCTTGGCCCAGGGACTAGGTAAGTGGATGGAACCTATCTTGCCTCTGGAGTCCGTATAGTATTTTAATTACGAGGGCTCTGTTTTCCAATAGCTCTTCTAAAACACTGCAACTCAATGTGTTTTTTGAACAGGATGGGTGATTTCAGGAAGCTTCAAGAACAGAAACCAAAGAGTACTCATCAGGAAAAGTGATGCCTTTATAAAAACAAAAAGGACAAGCCTTTTGAACAGATCCCAGATAAAGCCTGCAGAGCCTAAACAATGCAAAGCAAGAAAAACTTGGATCCAGGAGGAGAGTTACCCTCAAACTCCAGGGTTGGGAGAAAGCGGTGAGCTTGATGGACCCAGTGGGTCCTGGCCCATGTTTGCTCACCAGCCTCGAAGTTGTTGGGGCACTTCTCTGCATCCCACTTCTCTGACACGAAGTGATGTCAACCTCAAAAATAAAATGGCCCGTTATTTTATTAGCAAAATTGAGTTTCTTTGGGAATAGCAGGGGAATGACAATGTAAGACAAGTGAACTATGGAAGCACCACAGACAAGTCTGAAGAGACAAAGGAAAGGTCAGCTTTCATTAGGTTTTAGGAGCCAACTGGGGAGGGTTGATTTGAATCCAAGTTCACTGGAGAAAAACAAGAGTTTGAGGTTGAGGTGATTTCTCCTTGGTGCAAGTGTGGGTTACTGCGTTGTTTCTGGAGCGGGGGGATCTTCCTTCTGAAGCTTATGCAGGACACGAGAAGGGCCATGTGCAGGTGAGTGCCCTCTTGACTCCCCCTGCTCAGCTTTAAATGAGGTTTCCTTTATTCATTTACACACTCACTGCCTGTGACAAGCACAGAGGCCAAGGGTTGGGGGAACACAGCAAACGTTCCCTGAGTGGTTCCTCTTGCCCAGGCCCTATTCTAGGGGATCTGCCTGCACCAACCTCTGACCCACAGCATTACTCTGGCTGGCACAATGCTATGACTCCCATTTCCCTTATGAGGACACTTCTGAGAAGTCATAGCCCTGATCAAAAGGGGTATTTCAGGAAATACTACATCTGTATTTCAGAAAGAGCCGAGAGATAGTTTGTGGGTCAAGCTAGAGATATGTGTATGGAAATGGATCTGAAAGGTGTAGGATCAAGCTTAAAAGAGAGGAAAAGTGGATAAGGCCAAATGTATTGAGATGGACTCACTCAGCAAAGATTGTGAATTCAGGATTTACATTTAAGTGGCTGGGAATGGCTCAAATATTTTGAGAGGTAGGATGACAGAAAGATGAACCCAAATGTGGCCTACACTAAATGAAGTGGAAATATTAAGAAATCCTTAGTATATGTAGAAGAAGTTATGAAAGCTTTGAGATTATTGGAATTCTAAAGTATTTATTTTGTTGGATCCGTTCATCCAAACCAAAGGGTTCCACAACACATGCCTCTCACCATCGCTGTGACAAACTCATGAGTGTAGCCCAGCATCCTAGAAGAGCTTTGTGGGAGTTCTTCCTACACATGCAAAATTACATCAGGAGTTACTACCACTAAACTAGAATGCCTAAATACAGTCAGAATAACTTGAACCCAGAAAGACAGGTGCCAAGTGATATCACTTAATCACCAAAAATAAGCACAGCATGATTCCCCTAATGGGCATTAATGAAACAGTCTGACTCACAGAGATCTTTGCATTGACTCATTGGTTATGGTTCATAGAACTGATGTATATAAGAGGTCTACTAAAGTCTTACTTGATCTGGAAAAGGAGAAAATTCCAGGCCTTGTGAATATAAACCTGATTTACATAATATAAATCACTCAGACATCAAGGATAATCACGGATCCTTAATCATTCCCAGACTTGAGCCAGTTCCGTGACCCAGAGCCCCTTGAATGACCAGAAAGATAGATTCTCACGAAGAAACCCTAGCACACTGCCAAGAACATACACTGAGACCTTCCCCCCACCCCAGGCACCCGCAGAGGGACCTACACTTATTCACTATGGTGGCTGTGGAGTGGATAAAGGGATAGAATAAATCTTTGCAGAGATTCATGGTTATTGGCTGAAGTGACAATACTTCCTGGAGACCCAAAGTCTCCCTGGATCACCAGCAGAGGAGGAACTTAATAGGGTTGGATGGTCAATAAAATCTTGTCTCAGGTCCACGGTTTCCTCTGAGAAATCCACTGTCATTTAAGAATTGTGGGAATATATTGTTTAACTCTGCCTGTTTTCAAGATATTTCATTTTCATTTTTAACAAATTGGATTATAACTGATCTGAATATAAACATTCTTGAGTCCATACTGCTTAGAACTCTCTTAGCTTTTTGAATCTAGAAGTTTGTATTTCACCAAATCTGAGACATTTTCAGTTATCATTACTTCAAAACTTACATAAGATTTCACAGGCCAAATCGATGCTGACTTCCCCTTCCTGCTCTGTTTTCCTGGTAACAAAACTATGAATGAGAGGCGAGCCATAGCTGATGGGGCTCCCAGCCATGTCAGGGAGAGCTACTCATCCGTATTCCCAGCCTCTGCTTCCTACCTCCCACTCCTGTCCGTGGGGGACAATTTCACCATGTGTTTCTCAACTTGAAATTACTTTCTGCAGAATTTACTTTCAATTTCAATTCCTCAACTCATCTAACTTTTCTGAGGGAAGCACAAAATAGCACTTGTTCGAGAACCCAAATGCCAGGCTCTCTGTGATGGCAATGTTGTGTGTCAACTTGATGGCTGGACGGATGACCAGATAGCTGGTAAAACTGAATTTGTCCATGAGGGTATTTCTTCAAGAGATTAGCATGTGCTCAGTGGACAGAGTAGGGACGCGCTCTCGCCCATCCATTAGGGGCCCTAATGGAACAAAAAGGCAAAGGAAGGGTGCCTTCTTTCTCTCTTCATGAGCTAGCAAGTCCATCTTCTCTGGCCCTCTGACCTGGGTGCTCCTGCTTCTCGGGCCCTCAGACTTGGCTATTTAAATAAGGAGCCCTTGCTTCTCAGGCCTTGGGACTCACAGTGAGCTATCCCACCGGCTTCCTGGTGTCCAGCTGCACGCAGCAGAATGTGGGACGTCCCTGCCACCGTAACGGAGGGAGCCAACTCCTATCGCTTCAGAGAGACACAGATGTATAGATACAGATGCTTCCTATGGGTCCTGTTTCTCTGGAGGACCCCGACTAACCCACGATCCGAACCAAATTTTGTCACCAATCACACGTCTCCGTGTTCATCTGGATACTTGCTATTTTTACTGCTCAATAATCTCTTCTTCATAATTAACTTTAAAATGCTATTCTCATTTTCATTTCCGAGCTCTCCCATCCCTTCCTTTTGGGTCAATTACCAGTGACCAGTTCAGGGAGTGTTTTTTTTTGTCCTGTTCTCTATGACAGAAAAAGATGTCATCGGCAAGTTATGGGACTGAGATAAATAGCATAGTCTGGCTTTAAGCATGCACAGTTAGATCAGGAAGTTAAGCTCCTATACATATTACAATATGATATAATAACCTAAATAAGTTATTTAAAACTGTGTTGACACAAAACCAAAGGGGAGTTTAGTAGAGAAGTAAAAAACTCAAATGCCTACAAGGTCAATCAAACAGATATGGTACAAGCATTCTTAAAAATGAGATAGAAAATGTGCATGTCAATTCAAAGATTTTGCATTATAAAAGATGTGAAATCAGTAAAAGAGCGTCCAGTATTTTTCCAAAACAGTTTGAGGACATAGCTTATGGCCGGAATGATGAATTCTACCCAAATACATATTTGGGTTCCAATTTAAGAAAAATATAGGCCAAATTTCCTATTCTAATTACTGTAGAAACTGAATTACTGTGTAGCTCTCTGATGGGACACCAGTATGAGGCTGGGATACTGGCAATGTCAGGGCACTAACAAATGTGTCTCAAAACAAGCCGCACGTTATTTTCAAAGTTAATTTTTTATTCATCTTTTTTTATTTTTAGAAAATTTTTTAAAGATTTTATTTATTTATTTGAGAGAGAATGAGTGAGAGAGAGCATGAGAGAGGAGAAGGTCAGAGAGAGAAGAAGACTCCCCAGGGAGGTTGGAGCCCGATATGGGACTCGATCCTGGAAGTCGGGGATCATGACTTGAGTCGAAGGCAGTCGCTCAACCAAGTGAGCCACCCAGGTGCCCTATTCATCTTTAAAAAGCTATATTCAAAGATTTTAATGACTCAGAAAATACAGAAAGATGCAAAAGGAAATTGTACTTACTTGTTTCATTTACCCTGTTTCTCTGAAACCAAGTAATACTGCTTTAAGTTTCCTTTGCACTCTTGCAGAAAAGGAGGTAAGATCGAGTTAAAATAATCCATTCCATTTTTGAGTGTCATTGCTCTTGAATTCCTGTCTTTTGTTAATTACAAACACCTTGTACATCATTCCACTCAATACATGTTGAACTCACCCATGCTTTCAGAAGCTCAATAAAATCCCTTTGTATGGCTGGATCCTCTAGGATATTTCCACATAGCCAGCAAAAGAGCCTACTTGCTGGAAATTTAGTTCATGATTTTTAAAAGTCGCCGCAATGCATAATAATCTTTATACTGCAATTTCCATTTGAGCAATCCTCCTAGAAGTGAAACTTACAAGTCAAAGAGAAAATACATTAGCATTTTGAAGGAATTTGCCAAATTCTTCTCCTTCCCGGAGGAAGTTTGGTAGAGAAAGAGGCATCTTACAAGCAGGAACTCTGGAATTGGCTTACCCTTCCCGAGGGGAGCAGGATGGACAGAAGAAGGCTAAGTCACAGAGGTCATTATGATCTCCTTCCTGTGTCAGCTCAGGGCTACTGGTCATCAGCTTTGTTGTATAACATCATACTTTAATTTTTGAAGCTACGCTTCATATTTTTTACTCCCAGCGATAAAATGTCTTATTTGAAACTTGCTATCTGAGGGATCAAGGAAATAGCCATTTTCTCAAGTCTTAATGAAAGTGCCAGCATTTAGCCAGATGTCCATCTCTGTGAATCAGCACAAACGGGCTAACAGTTGCATAACCAAGGGTTAAAATTTCTAGAATGAATAATATTAGGAAGTTATTATTAAAGAAAGAGTTTAAATATAAAGAAATAATACAATCTGTCCAATAAAAGAAAAGAAAACAAAGCATCAGCAGGAGAACACTGTGAGCAGCGCTTATCTCAGGGGGTTTGTGGTAGAGAACCTTGGATTTCTGCAGGTGGCGGGCATGCTGGTGGTGCCTACGGAGAACACATACCATGTAGACACTGGCCCAGCCCATCCGACTCAGAAAGAGGATGTCTCGCAGGGCCATGAGAATGAGAAAAATCCACTTCACCTTCTGGCTTGCTGGTAGGAAGTAACAGTAGCTGCCACTGTGACCAACCTGTGATCTCTTCAGGCTGTTGATGTTTTTGATGTAATAGAGTAAGTTCATGCTGCTGACCAAGGAATTGAGTATCCACAAGAAGAGGAAGAAGGGAAGGATGCACCATGTGGATGCTGGCTTGAAGGTGGCACGCGCAGAGGCTCTGGGGCTGATGGTGATGGCCTGGACCACAGTCAGGAAGCTGGTGGTGCTGATCGAGAGACCCTGGGCCACCCGCTCCAGGTACACAAAAAATTTACAGCCTACATCATCCGGGAAGTTTCTCAAACCAAAAGTGTCTATTGTTTTAGCGTTACCTTGGAAAAAAGGATTATGATATTTGTAAAAAGCCAAGTGGATGAGAATTAGATGTGTAAATTTCTTTTTAGTGTCCCAAAAGAATATGTACATGTCCCAACAAAGACATTCCCCACAATGCCAGGTCCAATTACAAAGAGGAATATTGTTCCTTTAATAATCATTGGAAACATTTTTACTTCACGGGCAGAAACTCTTTGGATCTATCAAACACCTCTTGAAGAAAGCAACAGTGAAGATGGTATGTGTCTGCAAAGAATAATGCACATCAGAGGGCTTCCCTGGTGTGTCAGGGACACTGAGCCATGAGTCGGGATATATGCAAAGGAGAAGGTGTTGTCCAAAGATCTCTATTTCTGTCCTTCTGGGCACTCACTGTGGGTGATTCTATGAGCCTGAAATACAGTTTGGGGGATGAGCAAACAACAATCTAAATTTGCAACTAAGAATTTTTTCTGTGCTCCATCCAAGCAAGACAACCAGCTTGTTCAAATCCTTATGTATTTCACAAACGTTTAATCTCAGCATGGGCGGAAATGAACCAAAACGTCCCCCAACCTGATGTCACCCCGTGTTTTCTACTTCCTCCTGTGATGTTACCATCAGGCAACTCCACAAAAGTCTGGGTCTTCTTAACCTCCCCACCCCCTCTACCCCACAACAGAGACTTAATAACCCCTCTTGCTTCCACGTCGTTCACAGCACTGAGCCTGTCTCGTCTGTCACCGTGCCCCTTCTTTTGTTCAGCATGCAACACGTACCTCAGTTTGATTAGTATCACAATTTCCTCGCTTGTCTCCTGATTCCAGTTGTTGTTTTTCTTTGGGTTTTCTTTGAGGTGGGGGAGGGGAAGGGCAGAGGGAGTGAGAGAGAATCATAGTAGGCTCCACACTCAGCATGGAGCCCGATGCGGGGCTGAATCTCAGGACCCCGAGATCACGATCTGAGCCAAAATCTAGAGTTGTGCACTCACCTACTGAGCCACTTGAGCGCCCCTACCGATTCCAATCTTTATATCTCTGACACATACACCTTAATATTTCCAGAGCTGTCTTTCAAAACCCCAAACATTCTCTGTATGTTCATTGTTAAAATTTCCAGTGAGTTTTCCTAGTTTTCAAGATCAAGTGAAGCTGCATACATCCCAACTTTTAAATGCTCCTCAGCCAGAGACTTCCAGAAACAAGCCTGTGGGCTGCCCAAACTCAGATCTATGACTTGCAGCATCCTGGGCAGCCTGGGGGACCTTGGATTGCTGCCAGCGAGGGTGTTTATAGGAGGTCTGAGTCCCACTGAGGAATCGAAGGGGACACTAGGCAAAGCCTGGATTAGTTCAGGATGTTTGACATCTCCCAAAGGGTTAGCAAAGCTAATCATGAGGAGCTGGGAGCTGCCGGGAGACAAGGGCAGTTTATGAATGAGGGATCCCCAAATTTGGGGACATACAGTGAAGGGAGTTAGTGCATCCTTGGGAAGAAAAGAGTGTTCACTGAAACACAGGTTCACTATGCCATTTCCCAGCTGCTGACGAACCTGCGGAGAAATGATTCAGGCGAGTGGGTCCGTGTGACCGGTATCAATTCTCTGAACCTGGCTGACACTACAAGTGATTTGATCCTTATCAGTCCAACCCGACTGTCATGCTTCCGGGCCTGAGTAAGAATTCCTTTTCACTACTAAGCCTTGAACCTCACTTCATAGGTAGACAATTCTAGAGAACAACTGACTATTTCCCCCCAACCAAAGAAACCAGGATTTCTAACCTCCAATTTGCATAGGTTCCATAAACTTGCAAAGCTTCCCACAACCTTCTCCCCGCACCGTGTCCTCCCCCATTTAAGGCCTGGCCTTAGATGCGTCCTTGCCTGCAGGTGTCTGTCCGCATGAACCGTAAGAGCTCAGGCTCCTGGTCCGGTTTGGTACCGGGTGGCCTCAGGACTTGAGGAACATAGGTTATGGCCATCAGCCTCCTCTTCCTCCCCCAACAAATGGAAAGACTAATGCCTTTCTTTCTGACTGAATAATAGGAACAGTGTCAAGAGGGGGGAGGGATGATACTCTCCCAGATTACTTTTTGCAAATGGTCAAGTAAACTATTTAAAAGACACGATTTACACTCCGCCCATACTTAACGCCCATTCTGGATAGAACCCCTACCAGCTGGGCCAACTCTGTGCGTCCCTCTCAGCCTGTTTTCTCCACAAAGAAATGAGAAGAGTGCTTCCTGCTAGGGAAGACGAAGGTAAAGGGAAAGTGGGAGGCCTCTGGCTACTCACAAGCTGGCGATGCAAAAGTAGGGATTTGCCAACAGCCCCTGTCACTTTAGTCCTCATGGCTACTAACAGTGCCCCATCCAGCTGGCATGTGGTGGGGGAAGTTGGCTTACATGGATGGTGTTAATATTCGGAGCCGGAGGCTTAAGGACAGATGCAGGAGAAACCTTCCAATTACACACATGCACTTGGGGGATTTGGAACACGCTGGGGAAGACAAAGCTGGCTCGTTTGCAAAACACAGGAATGCACCAGATGAGGGCTACAGATTTGGTCACTGTGAGTGATGCTGACACAGGCATAATGCAGGGGCCGCGGAGAATGAAGAGGCAGAGCTGCTCCTGGGAACCGGACACACTCTGACCCTTCTCGATTTCCGGTTAAAGAACGTGGGTCCTTTCTCTGAGAGGCCACCCCAGAGCTCTCCCATGGGACCACATCCTGAACTCAGGACACAGTGCTCCCCCATGTCTGGAGGCACATTTGGGGCACTAGTCCCCATCATCTCTCTGCCCCGGGGGACATAGCTTTGCAAGATCAGGAGACCAGAGGCTCAGGCTCACAGAACCTCTCTCGAACTGCCTTCCTTAGTCAAAGAGAGAAGCAAGTTCCTGCATCTGAGGGAAAGTTCCTCTGGCACAGGGAGTGAGACTAGGATAGGTCAGGTGTGCTCACCTGCTCCCAGCCGTGCAGCCCAGCCCTTTGTCGCTCCTTCTGGCAGGTGAACCCCACACCCCAAGCCATATTTGTACCCTCTGGATGTGATGAGCTCTTGGCTAACAGGCACTGAAAGCAAGACTTCACTTGGCAAAGTTGTCAGCCTGTCAGGGAGGAGAAAACCCTCGGCAGGATATCTCAGTCCCTGAAGTACAGCTTTCCCTGTCCCTCCACAATTACAGCAAGTGTTTGGCTCAGAAGTGTTGTCAGTCTTAATTAGGTTTAATTATATTCCTAGGATGGATGTGCGGTGGGGAAATGAACAATTAGCGAGGCTTCCGGATCCAGGCTTTCCCGTTTTTCTGATCCTCCTCACTTTCCCTAAGTCCCAAGGCTGTGACTCTGAATGGGGACCTGCTCCCAGACACATGGAAGTCACTTTCCTTTCTTTCTCGAGGTTTTCTTTATGTGCGGGGATATAGCAAAGGGGATGGCTGGAGATTCTGTTTTCTGAGCACATCACAAGCGTGGATCCGGAGAAGACAAGAACCACCACGATCCTCCTGGGCATGTGGGGTTTTGGTGGGAAATGGTTTTCCTCCTACCCTCTGAGTTCCAGGCTGGGAACGCTCTGATTCAAGACAGACGGACAAGGGAAAATCAGACAAGCATTTATTATCCCTTATTCCTCATGTACACATAGAAGACTCCCAGAGAAAACTGAGCCACTCTCCGAGGTGGCTTGGAACTTGGGCTAAATAAACACCATTGTACTGGAGCAAGGGTACTGGGGGTATGGGCCTTTTAGGAGAAGGTAGATGATTTTTAAGAAAGACAAATGGACCTTAGAAGCATAATTGGGAGGTATGATAGTTTTTGATCAAGTTTGCCTGGGTATGGTGTCCATTTCCTCTCTCCTCTCCTGTGACAAGAGCCAGTCTTCCCTGGTTGATGAAACTCCCAGGGAGATAATTTATGACAATTGAGCTCCTTTAGAAGAATCTGTCTTTAAGCCGATTGGGGAGGGAGGTTTGAGGACACCTCTCCTTGTTTTCCTATTTTCCAAGTGCCCACAGCTCAGCAGACTTAATATACCCAGGCGGCATATTTTGGGGTGGCGTATTCTGCTGACTTCAGGGCTTAGAGATCTTTCCTGCAAGCAGTTGGTTTTTCTCTCTGTTTTTTTTTTTGTTTTTAAAAGATTTTATCTTTGATTTGAGAGAGAGGGAGCACAAGCCTAGGTAGGGGCAGAGAGAGGCAGAGGGAGAAGCAGGCTCCCCGCTGAGCAGGGAGCCCAGACAGGGATCATGACCCCAGCAGAAGGCAGAAGCCTAACAGACTCAGACACCCAGGGGCCCTGCAAGGGATTGTTTTATTCCTTGTCTATTAAAGGCAAATGGAACTGGAAAACTGGAAGGACTCCTCTTTTTGTTGTCATAGATCAGAAGCTTTGCCCTACAAAACTTCATTAACCCCAACTTCTATTATCTAGACTAACTTTCTACCCCAAGAATGAACTTTCCCATCCCTGATGCAAAGGAATAAAAATAAAAATGAGCAAAGGGTTGAGCTTAAAGGTGAGATTAGAATTATTTTTCATGAAATCATAGCAGCAATGTGTGAGTCTGAAAAGGCAAGATTTCCCCTCATGTTCTGGGGGAGGTATCCTTATTACTGTCAAAAATTCTTTACTTGAACAAAAATTAATCAGCCTCCTCAAACTTCTCCTAGACTCCTATGTGCGCTCTCTTGCAAGATCTAGTTTAAGCAAGAACCCTGCCAAGTCAGCCAGACCCAAATCCCCACCTCCAATCTGTTCAGGTTCCTGGTCCCCTGTCACCCCCCAGGTGATATCCAAGTACCGTGGCCTGTCCTCAGTAAGAATCCTGATGGGTCAAATAAAGACAGAAATCCTAACCTGTGATGTTTTCTGGTAGTAATTTTTAATTCTGCTCTGAGCCCCCTTGTGCCACTTGGCTCTAAGTTTCCACTTGCCCCTGCTGTGTTCTGAATTGAGCCCAGTGTCTCCCTCCATCACTGTAAAATCCCATTCCAGCATTTCCCTCTGCTCTCCACAGTGGTCCTGAATAAAGTCTGCCTTACTGCCTTGAACAAGCACCACTGAATATTTTCTTCTTTAGCATTACCTACAGCTGTACTGGCAACCTGCTAAAAGTACTTGTATAAGGCATGAAAAAAATCCCTTTGAGGTGAGTACTGTTTTCATCCCCACTTTTGAATGA